ATCTCAAACTTCACAAGTCAAATAGTCCACATGGCATTAAGAGCCTCCAGAACTTTTGAAAAACAAAACACACCCTTAAGCTAATTGTTGCTTGTCAAAAGCATCTTTCTCCATCTCTGCCATAGAATTAACTTTTTTTTTTCTGGAATGTTCTGTTTGATTTCAGGCCAGCTACATCTGCCTTCTCATTGCTGCACACAAGTAGGACAGCTGCCATGTCCACCACCCAGCTGGACCCACTGAACAATTCCTCACTCCTTTGCTAGAATAAAAAAATAAATAAATAAAAATCACTGAAACCAAAGAGGAAAGGGGAAAATAAGCATAACTTACATCGTAATTTAGAAGTTTTTTTTTTAACATTTTTATTACAACATTTGTTTTGAATGCCTTGTAGAAATTCATCAGATGCTGTTGACTTTCTTCAACCATGTCACAGTAGGAACAAGTACAGCTCTCAACTCTGCTTCAGCAGTACTTTTCCTCACAGTAATCAGTTGAGTAACAGTGAACTTGGCAAGATTCTTCACCTAGTCTTTTAAAAAACAGGCTTTAAAGAAAACTTCTTTGATAAGCAGACAGTAAGTCACAAGCAAAGGTTTGACATGCACCAGAGGGCTAGATTACAGGAGGTCTTACTAGATTGTGCTCTTAAACTACCCGGTGCGACAGCAGTGAATGCAGATGAGGAAGACTACTTGCAATGGAACAAGGATTAAAATGCCAGGGTTACAATAGTTTTAAGGTCACCAGACAGACAGATACAGTTGAAAATTCACACTTGGCACACACGAGACAACAGGCCTGTGACGCTGTGAGGAGCTAAGATGCACGACGCTGCCTGAACACTCATGAAGAGGCTGGTGTGCTGGCACCAGGAACAGCGCGATCCCGCTGCACGCGGGAACCAGGCACCGGATTGGGAAGTTGCACATTCAGTCACACGTTCAGGCAACCAGTGTGACACAACTGGAGGAGAACGACCGGTGTTTCTATCTGCAAAGGTAAAAGGAAAGCCTCCCAGCACGCCTGCCTCCCTCCCAGGAAGGGGAACAGCAGCACTAGCAAACCTCCCATTTTGGGATCTGTTTCCAGCCTCCTCACAGCAGTCCAGTGCAACGCTATCCGCCTTCTGACCCAATGCTTCCATTTGCCAGCTGTCCCCTAAGGAAACACGCAGAGTGCATCAGTAGATCGGAGTCTGACCCCTTGGTTATTTGTAACACATTATTACATACTTCACATTTAGCACAGGATCAAAGTGTTCTAATCATGCCTTTGGCACACTCAGGCTTTTTCACTGGAGTCAGGATTGATCTCATACTGCCTCCAATCCAGTTCTTGCTTAACAACAAAAAAAAATGTTTTTTAGAAAGGAAACGGTATTTCAGAATTTCTTTTTTTCTGAGTTTTTGGGGTACAAATGAGCATTTGGGTATCCTTGGCTTTGATGAAGTTTTAAGTCAAAAACAGCATATTTTAATTTAAAAAAACAGCTTAGAAGTCTGGCAGACGTGGTAAGTATAATAATGTGCAAAATGGCAACTTTTGTTTTTAACACTGGTATGAGAAATGGATTTAATTGAAAAAGTTGCACACACAACTGCATTAAAGAAACATGTGGAGTCTTGCTGAGTCCATTTCTGGGAGGTTAGGACCCATTCAGTCTGCATCTGTTCGTGCTCACTAGAGCCCTTCCTGTTACATTGCCGTGATACCCAGTCCATTTTAATGGAACATGAAGCTTCCCAGCAAGCCATTGGCAACATTTTCATCCTTCAGCCGTACAAAAAGATGCTCCCAAAGCCATGAATACCCTGCGAATCAGACATGAATTACTGTGGGTATTTCACAAATAAAACTATGAATCAGTATATATATTATTTCCATGAAAACATATTAATAAGGAACACTTGAATATGTCTTTTTTTCCCCTCTTGAATTAGCTTGAAAAAATAGCCTGTAACAAATTTCAGGATAACAAAGATCCATGGGATCACACATAAAATAGAAGGTGACTCCTCTGCCACAGCTTCTGCTCCTACTAAGAATCCACCTTAGGAAAGATACTGACTTTGTTTCTGCTGATTTTTCTTTCTGCTTTACCCTTGGGCTGCTTTGTCTGGATTAGCTCCTCAGGGGTATTTCCCAAAGGAGGCAGGAGTCGCTTCTTACTGTTCCGGCTTTCTGAGAGCCACTGTGGAGGCAGCTCAAAGGGGCCAAACCCAAACTGCACGGAATACTTGTCATTTGTCAACTCGGCATCTGTGGGCACAGCTGGGGCCACCTGAGCTGCAGAGTCTGCAGCCGTGCGCGGTATAGATTTGTGAACCAAAGTCTGTTCTACCTCTAAACTGGCTGTAGGAACTTCCTTCTGCTGAAAGTCACCCGAGCCAATGGATCTGGTTTCATTCTCCTCATCCTCTGTTGGCTTGAAGATCTGTTGCTGCCCGATGTGAAACATCTCCAGCAGCTGGCTCCCCGAACGGACACTGGCCTCCAAGTTGGTGTCTGCGACGCCACCGGAGCTGACAAGGTTTCTCCTGCTGTATCGTCGGTGCAGCTGCACTAAGGTTCCCACCACGCACTTCCGTACGGACTTGTTAACAGTTAGAAACAACAAGGGGTTGGCTAGTAGAGAGACCTTTGGCAACCAAATGGCAGTGAGGAACAAGAAGACGGAAATATCTGAAGTGTTGAGAATGGTGCGGTAAATCACCAGGGTCACGTAGGGGATACTGCAGAAAATAAATATCATAACCATGGAAAGCAGCATGGCATGAAGCTCAGCTTCCCGCTGGGAAGCATAAGGGATAGATATTGTATTCTGAGGGGTCCTTAAGGCAGCTATGATGACTTTTTTCTTCTGGCTGGCACTCAGTGCTCTGCGGATAAGAATCATAAAGAGAAATACCACAGCCACAGGTACAATCACAGTGGTGACGTTGTAGATGATGACATACACCAGGTGACCAAGGGAATAACTCCAGGATTCAGAGCACGTGGACATGGCATAAATATCAGACACGTTGGTCACAGCAAACACTGGGATGCTGGCCACTACTGCATGGGCCCAGATGTAGATAACCAGGTCACGGGATTTTGCATCAGATATTTTTCTTTCCAGAGGGTATAAAACAGAGTAGTACCTGTCAAAAATAAGTAAGCAATGAATAAAAAAACAAAATACAATTGACATAATGAAAAGGTTATAGCTTATGGTGAGCACAAACTCCCTAACCAGGCTGCCAACTGAGTAGCTGTTTATGAGAGAGCAGACACAAGTGCAGTGCTGTGCAGGTCTGCTTGTAGAAAAAACCTCCACACCTGAGGAGCACATTAAGGGTCTACAGGTCTCTAACTGGGACTACATTGCTTGGTCTGATGCAAGTGAGCGTTATCTTGAAAATTTCATCATCTTACCTGTGAAAAGCACAAATTCAACAAGCTATGGTTGAGGAATGGCTATGTCACACAAAGGCCAGAGTCACAGTTAAAATGAAAAGTTGCTTTATAATGGATTTTCTCTTATTTTTGGAGGGGAAAAAAAAAAAAGTTAGTCACAAGTGACACGGACTTGACTGCTGGAAGTACAACAGGGTTCTGTTTTTCCACAAGCTTTGGTGCAAAACCCTGAGCAAAAGGATAGTTTGAACACTACATAGCCTGTGTGCATTAAGATTAATGTACATCTTTGACACGGTCCAATTTCAGGCACTGGTTCATTGTTCAGTTTTGCTTATTAATGTGGAGTTTTAAGCTGGCAGACCTTTCCTAAGAGACCTATTCATCTACCCTTATCACAGGTGATAGCTGGTAAAGGACAAGTGACACACTGCTTAGGCAGCAACACTGGCATGCATTACAGTGAGCAATACTGCAGTTATCAAGACACTACTATTAGAGTAAAATACACACCATTTTACTGGCTGCAGTTTGCTTTTCTTTTGCAGAGCTAATGCGTTATCTAACAACAATTTTATCAAACATACATAAATCCAGCTATATTAAACTGCAACCATTATCTGCTCCCCAAAAATATCTAAATTACAGTCACTATCAAGATAATGAGAGCTGTGCACTTAGGTGAGATCACTGACCTCAAATCACATAATAAGCTAAGTTAATGGAATCCAAAACTTTTTCAGTCCAAACAGCCACTTTTATTTCAGATCAATTTTCTGCATTCAAAATTTACCTAAATTAGTTTGGGTTGTTCTGGATTTTTTTTTTTAATACAATCCAATCTGAAAATTACCAGAGACAGTTGACCCAGGCATTGGTAAATTTTCCTGACAGGCAATGCCTTTCAGCTTTCAGAGTTAAAGACGTGCACTTTATCTATAGTCTGAAATGGTCTAAGTTAAGTTTTGTTATTGAAAAATGATTAATGACAGGGAGAAAGAAAGGATAAAAAATTCTCTGATGATTAATTTACAGATTCAAAACCCCTTAGAAAAGGTCAGAGTAAAATGAAAAATAAAAGTAATCAATATTAGAGAAGAGTACTCATTCCAAGACATTTTAGAAAGGAGCCGCATGTAATGAGGAAAGTATTGGAACAAGAGCAGTTCATGTAATGGCATAACACAACATTAAATAGCATTAGCGTTTACAACGCTAAAACAAAATGGCATCAAAAGGAGAAGAAAGGAAAAAAAAAAATCAAGGATTACGAAACTGTTCAAGTTTTCTCTCTTACCTGTCTAGAGCAATGGCCGGAAAACTCAGGATGGTTACTGAGCAGAAGACTTTGTGCAAAAACTTGGCAACTTTGCAGAAGAGCATTGTGTAGATCCACCAGCAGCAGTGGGGGCTGGCGCTGAGGACGATGTCGAAAGGCACGCAGACCAGGCTGGCGCAGATCCCCGAGCACGCCAGGTTCCGCACGAACCGGCTCGTCACGGACTTGAGCACCGACGGCCGGCAAGTCGACCACAGCACCGTGATGTTGCCTGGGAGGGGAGAGGGGAAGGGAAACAGGGAAAAAGGGGAAAAATAGATTTGTTTGGCAGCTAGTAACACAAGTAAAAAGCTCTTATTTGGAGTTTGACGCAGTCACTGATTTGAATCATCACACAGGCCAGACTAAAAAGCCAGTGTAGTAACTACAGACTTTATAACCAGATGAATGAAAAACAGTTATTCCCCAGCTATCTCCTCCCAGTAATGCAGTTAGAGTCTTCCAGAGCAATATTTAAGTAGAATATCCAAACCATATGTTCAGATGCTTACACTGACTCAAATATGAAAGGATCCATCTCGACTCAACACGCTCATATTTTAATGACCGGCATATAATCTATTCATCTGTGTTAAGAAAACCATTCACTGCAAGTAAATATAAAGCTTCCAGGCAGGAGTGGTTTGATTTGACTCTGTGTGTCAGTGGATCACAGAGAACTTGCTTTGACTTATATTTGCCATTTCAGCAGCAGACACAAGCCTCTGAAGCCACAGCCAGAGAAAAACTGCCTTTATTTTCCAGACCAAGAGATTCTATGCAAACATGACAACATGCAATTAAACAAATCAGACAGGAAAAGGAAAAAGGGAAAAGCAGGAGGTACCCATGCTCGGTGCTTTGAGTGACTGAGCACTCACTTTTAACAAGTGTGCAGCTCATACACGTCTAAGCAGGGTGTCCAACTGAAACAGAACTGCCTCATATTTCAGCTACATGTTTATCACAAACATCACAAAAGCAGCGCAAAAAGCTACGCAGTTTTCTCAGGCGCTTCCCAAGCCTTTCCTTCTAAACTTTCAAGGCACCAGAGGTAGTTTCAGAAAGCAGCACTGTCCCTTGCAGGAGCAGCAATCTGGCAAGAACCTGAAAGCAAGGGCACTTCTTGCCACGTGGCCCAGCAGCTGGCAAGAGCCTCACTGACAGAGAGTGGTCTCAAGCGGAGCCCGCGTCTCTCCGTGATACCCGCCCCGAGACAATCAACTCTAATGCAATTCACTGAGTCCCTTTCCACAGGGCACTAAGCCAGAGACGGTAGTTAGATCACCCAACCAGACAGCAGATCCAGACAAAATAAAATAGCTCAGTGCGCCAGACTGATTAGATTACATTCAAATTTGGATACTGAAGAAATCCTGCAATCACTCTTTGTTACCCAGTTCCTCATGCACTGGGCTAAAACTGCTCCCAGGGACACCCACTACCTCCTGGACAGGCTTGGTTACGGTCAGCAGAAATCCTGATTCCAGGCCGAGTTGTTTTGTATGTGTTTTTTTTTCAGGATAACAATATAGGTAACAAGAGAAAACAGCACCTCGAGCTGCTGCTGATGCCATAAGGAGCCGCTGCCGCCCCACGGCTCTGCTGACACTACTGCACTTTGGCTACCAGTCTTCTTTCCAACCAGTAAAAGCCTCAAGTTATTATTTGCTGGTCACAATTACCCTCTAGCTGCTAAGATATAGAAATGCCAGTAACAAAATGTTCTTGCTCAGGTGGCCAAAGAAATCGGTGCCTACTGAGGGGAATGCTCAAGTTTGTGTGTTCACCAATAAGGGGATTTCCCCGCAGTCTGGCTGAAGAGCAGGACAAAGGAAGGGGAGAGACTGAGCGGAACCATGAGTGAGTGGGACAAAAGAACATCTGCCAAGAGTTGGGGGCCTTTACAAATAAGGGAAATAAGGGAATTCCCCCACATTCTTCAGCAAAGGGGACAAAGGAGTCAGGTGACCTTAGGTGAGAGCAGATGGCAGGAGGCAGGAGTTTGGTATAGGCAGGCGGGGAAGGCTGTAACTTCTGAGTACCTTGGCCAATGGGGAAAAGGAGAGGGCGTCCCTCTGTCAGGAAATTAGGATAAAAGGGGGGCTGCGTCCTCCAGCAATTTGAGAAACTCCACAGGGACATGCCCGGAAGACTCTCCCTTTATTCAAACAAAGTTTCAGGATTCCTCTGTCTCCTTTCTGGACATTCAGCTCTTGACAGAAAGATCTTCCACACACTACCAAGAAATACCAGAAGGTCAAGTTAGCTTCTTGATAATGCAGTATTAACTTCAGCCATCATTTCCGTAAAACTATGCAGTATTAACTGTAAAATTTACCTCGCAGACACACTATGTAGGAGCGCAGTAATTCAATGCAATTCAGAAGTTACTTTATAAAAAATTATGTGTCTTACTATGCACATTTCTTTTTGGTGGATGACAAAATATTGAGTTAAGTATTTACTATTTGATGTATTTTGAAGAATAGAATCATCCATCTAGTTTTGGCAGGTGCTTTGGGCTTGATAATATCTTCAACATGCAGTATTCAGTCAGATGTATTTAAAGCTTCTTAAATTGCTACAAGATATTCAGTCAATCAACCACTTGCTTTAGAAAACTCCAATCCTCCATTTTCTGAAGGACTTCTCACATAGTAATAATATATTATTACAGTGCCATGGAGTGGGGCAGAAACTGATGATTTCATTTTTAAATTTAAATCTTTTGTGTAGTTTGTATTGCAGTGACTTTGTAACTTTATTTCTAAAGCAAGTTTCACATCAATATGGATAAATATAAGCATAGAATAAGAAAACAAGTCAGAGATTTTAAATAATATTCTTAATATTTACTACTAGACTACTTTTCGGAACCTTACAGAGAAGCCTGGATCAAGACTCAAGACTTACAACCATGGAATCACTTCTATAACTGTACCAGGGAGTGCCAGAAGGGAACAAAATTAACGCTGGTGCTGGCTGACCCTGGATGTGGCAGGAATGAAGCAGAAATGATGCTGATACTGGTATCAGCAAAGATCCCAATCCTGCTGACGCCTTCAAAGCAAGTATCGCCCTCCGTGCAGCTCCAAGCCAGCCAGGGCCGGCCTCTCGGAGACGAGCGCACCAGAAACCCGGCACGCCATCGAGTACACGGAGGCTTCAGAACAAGCTGCTCCTCCAGCTATTGCTTCCATGGGAGAGGATAACAACATTCCAGGCAACAAGGTAATTTAACAGGCATTAAAGCAATTGTGCTCTGAATCTTTCCACAATTTGCAGAGCCACTTTTCAGCTCTATATGTATTACTCGCGCTCCTGAACCCAGGAAAGGCACCGCTCTGCCCCTGATATTCTGCTAGGGCTGCTCTAGGTGCTTCACATCCCCGCAGCAGGAAATGGTGTCATCTTCTATCCCAAGTTATTTTCTGAGATGCATCTGATTGATGATTGAGCTACACAACCTTGCATTCAAACTCCATGTACTTCCCAGGATTGTACAGATGAGATGTGACACATGTAATGAAAAGCCAGAGCGAACATGGAGCTGTCAATGCCACCCCTCACTGTTCCCTGTAAGCCAGTACTGCCCAGGACACAAACATCTCCTTTAAATGATTGCACATGACAATATATCCTACACAGGCTGCACAGCTTTCAGACATCTGGAAGAAAAAGACAAAATGTTTTTGATTTGCAAAATAAATCTGTGCCTTTGCTCTTCTCAGGAAATGAGCTACATCTACATAAAAGCTTCACCCCATCTGACATTAATTGGTAACCTTATCTCTCCACAGACTGAACGAGGAGGGAAACAGACAGCTTACCTGCGCCCTCCAAAATCTATCCAGGCCACAAAGAGGAGCAGCAAAGGCTAAAGGTAACCACTCTGCAAAGAGCTCTCCATGTCGGAGGCAAACATGCTACCATCCTACTAACCAAAGTCAAATAAAGTTAGTTTTATCTTCTTGTATTATCATAAATACCAACATTCAATAAAAAATATTTGTGTATTATATATATTCTACTGCATTGGGATGAAAAGAACTGTTGTCCCCAAGTTTTTTTACTGTGTGCCAAGCAGCTACACAGTAAAGAAGTTGCCCAGAAATATGAGAAAGTAAATTTAACTTTAGAAAGTAAATGCAACTTTAGGCCAATGAGAAAGTAAATGCAAGAACAGTCTGACTTATCAAGGTGCTCAGACAGCAGGCTCCAAGCTACTGTAGTGTTTCAAGTTCATTGTGTTTCCAACAGGTAACATTCTCTGGGCATTAAATATTAAGAATATATTATCTTGATTTGAAAGAAAAATATTTCCACTCCCCTTTCAATTTGTACCATGCTCAGATTTACTGCCAGACACAAAGTATTGATTCAGGCATTAACAGCTGAGACAGTTTGGCGATAATAGCTCTCAGCAATAACTCAAATTGAATACCACCTTTAGCAAGCAAAAAGATAATCTCTATAGAAACCAAAGGTTGTTATCTAAAATAAATATGTTTGCCATTAATCCCCCCCCCTCAAATTTTTCTTCTTTGCCAATTTACTCACAAACCACCAGTGGATAGGATCCACTCCATTAGCTGGGCATAACATGTTGGGCATATTATGTTTTTCTTAACATTAATCAGAACATAATTGAACCAAAACAGAGGCCACACTCTAGGAAAACCCTCCCTTCTACCTCCTGCCTCTCAGCTGGCTGATTCCCCACTCCATCTGCAAGAGGTTTCTTAGCATCCAGCTGCCCTTTCCAGCAGGTAAAAGTACCAGGGAGCCTCCCCTGTACCCATGCACCAGAATGGAGAAAAAAAAGAAAGCCCTCTATAAAACAAGAAACCAGGATGGTATGAGAAAGGTTAGACATTGGGCTTTGTCCTTTAAAGCCTTTCTTTAGGAAAAACATGAAAATAAAAAATTACAGGTTCTGTCGACGTGTTCAATAGGAAAACATTACCCTGTTGCAACACGAGGCCACTTACCTTCCCCAGCCTCAAACCCTTTTTACCTTTTCTGAGTTGGTTTGAGTAACACATTTTCTGCAGTAGTCATTCTGTCAAAAACAAACAAACAAACAAAAAAACCCACCACACAAAAAAGCCACAACCCTGCTGAAAAGGCAGTTTACTGGAAAATTTTGGCAAGCTCTCAAGCTCTGGTAGGAGGCTTTTATGTGGGCACATCGGGGAGTCCTTCTTAACACACGTTTTCTGCTTGTTT